ACAGATTTTATTGGTTGGACGTAGCCGGGTGGAGGTGGGAGGGAGAGAGGGAGACAATGCCAAAATCCTGTGATGATTTGATTATTTTGTGCAGCGGCGCTCTGAGGAAACAGAGCGAGAGGGGCTTTGGCTGAGGGAGGATGTTGATATGTGTTTAAATCTGTTGTGTTTTTGCTTGTTGCCAGGACGATCATGGGCCCACACGGCATCAGCCGAGCCGTACAGAGGCTGGAGTTCTGCGACTGCAAGAAGGGACTCGGTGAGCATCTTTCCCTCGACCTTACTGACCTCTGAGTCCTTATTAACCGCTCCTCCTTCAGCCGCAGCTCAGCATCTGAAAATGCTGCGATCGCCTGTCACAACTAGATGAAGAGCCAGTACAGCCTGAAAGCCAGGCTCTTTTTTAACTGGAGCTCATCTGTGTGTGTTCACAGGTGTTAAAATAATTGGGGGCTACAGAGAGCTGACAGGAGAGGAGTTTGGTATCTACATAAAGCGAGTGATCGCTGGTGGGCTGGCCGCTCTGGATGGTAGCTATTCTTCTGGTATTTTTTGTGGATCGGTTACTGTTAACAGACACTGTTATCGTCCCTCACTTTGCCTTCTCTCTGTCTGTCTGTCTGTCACTCTCTGTTCCAGGTCGGCTTAAGTCAGGTGACCTGATTTTGGATGTCAATAACATCAGCCTGATAGGGGTGACCAATGAGAGGTGAGTCTCACTGTTGAGGTATTTTAGAAAATGCAGCATGGCGGTCTCGCATCACTTGTTTATTTGCACTGTTTGAATTGTGAAGCTGCACGGACTGCAGAGTGTTGGTGTCCATCACACTTTATGTGAATGCTGCACGTGAAATTTTGCAGCCTCAACATCTGCTTTAAGGTCATCAACATGTTGGCATTTTTGAGTAAAAATGACCATATTTGGACAAGAGGGTGGAGTATTATCAGCTACTTTATCTAATTCAGTTCAGTTTTATTCATATAGCAACAAATCACAACAACAGTCGCCTCAATGCTCTTTAGTTTATAAATTAAGAAATTAAGACTATAAAATAAGACTTATTAAGA